CCATAACATACCCCATAGCATACCCCATAACATACTCCATAATATATCCCATAACATACCCCATGACATACCCCATAACATACCCCATAATATACCCCATAATACAGTGCAGTCGGAAAGTATTCAGACCCCTCCACATTTTGTTACGTTACAGCTTTATTCTTTTAATGTTGTTGTTTTTTTCTCATCAATCTACACACAATATCTCCTGAGTGGTGCAGTGGTCTAAGGCACTGCATCGCAGTGCTACCTGTGCCACTAGAGATCCTGGTTTCGAATCCAGGCTCTGTCGTAGCCGGCCGCAGCCGGGAGACCCATGGGGCGGCGCACAATTGGCCCAGGGTAGGGGAGGGTATGGCCGGCAGTTGGTAGAGGGTTGTGGGTTCGATTCCCACGGGGGGCCAGTATGAAAAATAAAAAATAATTGTATGCACTCACTAACTGTAAGTCGCTCTGGATAAAAGCGTCTGCTAAATAACTAAAAATGTAAAATACCCCATAATGACAAAGTAAAAACAGGTTTTTAGAAATGTACAGCCTCGAGTCTTCTTGGGTATGACACTGCAAGCTTGGCAAACTTCTTCCATTTAATAATGACGGAGACCACTGTGTTCTTGGGGACCTTCAATGCTGCAGAACCTTTTTGGTACCCTTCCCCAGATCTGTGCCTCGACACAATCCTGTCTCTGAGCTCTACGGACAATTCCTTCGAACCTCATGGCTTGGTGTTTGCTCTGACATGCACTGTCATCTGTGGGACCTTATATAGACAGGTGTGTGCCATTCCAAATCCTGTCCAATCAATTGAATTTACCACAGGTGGACTCCAATCAAGTTGTAGAAACATCTCAAGGATGATCAATGGAAACAGGATGCACCTGAGCTCAATTTCGAGTCTCATAGCAAAGGGTCTGAATACTTATGTAAATCAGGTATTTCTAAAAACCTGTTTTCGATTTGTCATTATGGGGTATTGTGTGTAAATTGATGAGGAAAATGGTCTATTTAATCCATTTTAGATTAAATAACGTAACAATATGTGGAAAAAGTGAAGGGGTATGAATACTTTCGAATGCACTGTATACCCCATAATATACCACACCATTAGCTACAAGTCAAACAATAGTGGTGTCAAATATTCTACAAGGGGCAGAGAACAGTTTATATTTGTAAATAAAAAAACAACAGAAGACTTGTTTAAAGCCCTGGCACTTAGATTAGCTTTAACGGTTCATATTTCTGTTTTTTCTCTGTACTGTGAAACAAAGTGTTAAGTAGACAGGTTAGCTGACAAAGTCACAACATAAAATGTGTGTGGTTCAAAGGGGATTAGCACACCTGTTGTTATGGTTCTGGATGTCCAGATCGCTTAGCAACAATGACAAGAAACTGCCATGTGGAGAATCGTAAGTGGCTCGTTTCAGCTAAGTTTGATCTTGTTCTTGTCTTGTTTTGACTGATGTCTCTGCTAATGTGGCTAACATTCACTAGCTAACTAGCTAGCTAACCAACAACTGTAACGATGTATTTGAGAGACAAAGTGCTCATTGTGCAAATGTATTTATGTTTTCAATAAACATTGGAGCCAACCGCATCTGTTTTGCCCAATAGTTGTGCACGCGTCGGTTTTGTTGCTAAACAACCAACCCATCTATAGTTTTTGTTGCTAAACAACCAACCCGTCTATAGTTTTTGTTGCTAAACAACCCACTATGCCCTCCGACGAACCATCAAACAGGCAAAGAGTCAATACAGGACTAAGATTGAATCTGACACTCGTCGGATGTGGCAAGGCTTGAAAACTATTACAGACTACAAAGGGAAGCACAGCCGTGAGTGACACAAGCCTACCAGACGAGCTAAACTACTTCTATGCTCGCTTCGAGGCAAGCAACACTGAAGCATGCATGAGAGCACCAGCTGTTCCGGACGACTATGTGATCACGCTCTCCGTAGCCAATGTGAGTAAGACTTTTAAGCAGGTCAACATTCACAAGGCCGCAGGGCCAGACGGATTACCAGGACGTGTACTCCGAGCATGTACTGACCAACTGGCAAGTGTCTTCACTGACATTTTCAACATGTCCCTGACTAAGTCTATAATACCAACATGTTTCAAGTAGACCACCATAGTCTCCGTGCCCAAGGACACTAAGATAACCTGCCTAAATGACTACCGACCCGTAGCACTGACGTCTGTAGCCATGAAGTGCGTTGAAAGGCTGGTCATGGCTCACATCAACACCATTATCCCAGAAACACCAGACCCTCTCCAATTTGCATACCGCCCCAACAGATCCATAGATGATGCAATCTCTAATGCACTCCACACTGCCCTTTCCCAACTGGACAAGAGGAACACCTACGTGAGAATGCTATTCATTGAACACAGCTCAGCGTTCAACACCATAGTGCCCTCAAAGCTCATCACTAAGCTAAGGATCCTGGGACTAAACACCTCCCTCTGCAACTGGATCCTGGACTTCCTGACGGGCCGCCCCCAGGTGGTAAGGGTAGGTAACAACACATCTGCCACGCTGATCCTCAACACGGGGACCCCTCAGGGGTGCGTGCTCAGTCCCTCCTGTACTCCCTGTTCACCCATGACTGCATGGCCAGGCACGACTCCAACACCATCATTAAGTTTTCCGACGACACAACAGTGGTAGGCCTGATCACCGACAACGATGAGACAGCCTATAGGGAGGAGGTCAGAGACCTGGCCGTGTGGTGCCAGGATAACAACCTCTCCCTCAACGTGACCAAGACAAAGGAGATGATTGTGGACTACAGGAAAAAAAAGAGGACTGAGCATGCCCCCATTCACATCGACGGGGCTGTAGTGAAACAGGTTGAGAGCTTCAAGTTCCTTGGTGTCCACATCACCAACAAACTATCATGGTCCAAACACACCTAGACAGTCGTGAAGAGGGCACGACAAAGCCTATTCCCCCTTAGGAGACTGAAAAGATTTGGCATGGGTCCTCAGATCCTTAAAAAATTCTACAGCTGCACCATCGAGAGCATCCTGACTGGTTGCATCACCGCCTGGTATGGCAACTGCTCGGCCTTCGACCGCAAGGCACTACAGAGGGTAGTGCGTACGGCCCAGTACATCACTGGGGCCAAGCTTCCTGCCATCCAGGACCTCTATACCAGGCGGTGTCAGAGGAAGGCCCTCAAAATTGTCAAAGACTCCAGCCACCCTAGTCATAGACTGTTCTCTCTGCTACCGCACGACAAGCGGTACCGGAGTGCCAAGTCTAGGTCCAAAAGACTTCTCAACAGCTTCTACCCCCAAGCCATAAGACTCCTGAACAGCTAATCATGGCTACCCAGACTATTTGCACTACCCCCCCACCCCATCTTTTTACGCTGCTGCTACTCTGTTAATTGTTTATGCATAGTCACTTTAACTCTACCCACATTTACATATTGCTTCAACTACCTCAACTAGCCGGTGCTCCCGTACATTGACTCTGCACCGGTACCCCCCTGTATATATAGCCTCCCTACTGTCACTTTATTTTACTTCTGCTCTTTTTTTTCTCAACACTTTTTTGTTGTTGGTTTATTTTACTTTTATATAAAAAATAAATGCACTGTTGGTTAAGGGCTGTAAGTAAGCATTTCACTGTAATGTCTGCACCTGTTGAATTTGGCGCATGTGGCCAATAAAGTTTGATTTGATTTGAACAGGTAAGAGATCAGCTAATAGCTAATGTTACCCCTAACAGGTAAGAGATCAGCTAATGTTACCCCTAACAGGTAAGAGATCAGCTAATAGCTAATGTTACCCCTAACAGGTAAGAGATCAGCTAATAGCTAATGTTACCCCTAACAGGGAAGAGATCAGCTAATAGCTAATGTTACCCCTAACAGGTAAGAGATCAGCTAATGTTACCCCTAACAGGTAAGAGATCAGCTAATAGCTAATGTTACCCCTAACAGGTAAGAGATCAGCTAATGTTACCCCTAACAGGTAAGAGATCAGCTAATAGCTAATGTTACCCCTAACAGGGAAGAGATCAGCTAATGTTACCCCTAACAGGTATGAGATCAGCTAATGTTAGGCCTACCCCTAACAGGGAAGAGATCAGCTAATGTTACCCCTAACAGGTAAGAGATCAGCTAATGTTAGGCCTACCCCTAACAGGAAAGAGAGTCTGGATCAACCAGAAGCGTTCCAACCAGAAACATTTTTATCTGGTATACAGGATTTTCAGGTGTATTGTAGCTATCCCAGCTCAACCTGATTCATGCTAATATGATTAAAAGATAATAGCGTTAAAGTAGCATGCTGTATTTGTTTAGGATTTATCTGTGGTGAGGTTAATCACTGTAGATGACTCATGGGTGTACATGGGGAGGTAGGACTTCTGGAGTGTTTTTGAAGATTTGAGTCTTGTCCAGTTAAGTTGACTCAACAAGTGGAGATTTTTATGGAGGTTAAGAAGGATGGCCTCTATGGTCAGACTGACTCATTTCATTCATTACTATTGTTTCTGTTCTCATGTAAGATGTTACACAAACACAACAAAACTTTCAATTCCACTATTGCATTACCTCATGTAAATTCAGTACAAATGAACAAAAACACATCCCTTGTGGAGGAACATGTCTGGTAGTGACAGATACTTTCGTATTTTCAAAAGGCTTCATCTTCAAGCCCTAAACCAGTCAGCCCTTTTAAACCAGAGACCTTTGAGCTCCTTAATGTTAGAGTGGGCGATCTGACCCTGAAAGGGCCTCAAGCCTAACCTCCTCTGATTGACTAAACCACTGACACATGGGAACATCTGCCTGTCTCATTGGTTCAATCACTGGCACAAGGGAACATATCCCCTCTGATTGGCTAAAACACTGACACATGGGAACATCTGCACTGGGCTGGAAACAAACTGTCTATTCTGAGCCTCTACACCACTGGATGGTCTGGACTGAATAACAGCTCTGAACTCTGGGCTGTAAGGTTTGGTAGGCCAGATCTCAGGGTGAGTTACATCAGAAACATATGGAGACGACCACACATCCACGATCAAACTACGTCTCCCTTTCTTTAAGAGACCGCTTTATACTGTCTCCTTTCAGTGCTGATGTGAGGCAGAGTGCAGGATGGTACGGTATATATATATATATATACAGTCCCAGTCAAAAGTTTGGACACACCTACTCATTCAAGGGTTTTTCTTTATTTTTACTATTTTCTACATTGTAGAATAATAGTGAAAACATCAAAACTATGAAATAACACATATGGAATCATGTAGTAACCAAAAAAGTGTTAAACAAATTATATTTGAGATTCTTCAAATAGCCACCCTTTGCCTTGATGACAGCTTTGCACACTCTTGGCATTCTCTCAACCAGCTTCATGAGTTAGTCATTTCATGCATTTCAATTAACAGGTGTGTCTTGTTAAAAGTTAATTTGTGGAATTTCTTTCCTTCTTAATGCGTTTGAGCCAATCAGTTGTGTTGTGACAAGGTAGGGATGGTATACAGAAGATAGCCCTATTTGGTAAAAGACCAAGTCCATATTATGGCAAGAACAGCTCAAATAAGCAAAGAGAAATGACAGTCCACTGGAATATATATTGTATCTATAATATACTGTGTCTTAACTGTTTGGAATATATACTGTATCTATAACATACTGTGTCTTACCTGACTGGAGATATCACTACTGAGTGATTCTGTCTGTCTTACCTGACTGGAGATATCACTGCTGAGTGATTCTGTCTGTCTTACCTGACTGGAGGTATCACTGCTGAGTGATTCTGTCTGTCTTACCTGACTGGAGGTATCACTGCTGAGTGACTCGGTCTTGTGTTCCGACAGTCCTCTGTGGGAGCGGTTCGGCAGGGTGACGGTCCCTCCCCCGTTCTGCAGGTGATGGGGGATCGCTAGAGGGGGCAGAACAGTCCCTGGTCCTGGTTCTCTTGGCTCCTCCTCTGGGGGTGTGTCCATGGAAGTGGTGGAGCTACTAGGCTCCGGGGGCGTGACCTCTGTGTCCATGGAGACCGCGGACCCTCCGTAGCTGCGGTAACCGTTCTCCAGCGTCTCCCCGCCGCCATCGTACCAGCTCCCATTCTTAGGGTCTTTACTATCGCGATTGAACGTCGACCGGGCGATGACGCCAAACTTTCGCGTCCGTTTGCTGCCAACGGTCTGCGTCGGAAGGCTGCCAGGAGGCTTGGAGGACACGCTGCTCTGGTGGTCCAGAGAGTTTCGGCCATCTTGGATGGCACCGCTGCCACCAGTGACGGCGGCGTTGCCGTTTCCATTGCACGGAGGGAGAGGGGCTTTACGCTTGATCCTCCGGAGCATGATCAGGTAGATGCAGCCGCCATTCCAGCACTGGTCAGCCAGGTAACTGTTGAGAGAACAGAAGAAAATGAGACGTCAGAATGTGTGGGGACGGAGTCTCACGGTCACAGATAAAACAAAAGAAAAGACAAAAGGAGACCTTGTTGACCACTCGAGAGAGAGAGAGAGAGAGAGAGAGAGAGAGAGAGAGAGAGAGAGAGAGAGAGAGGAGAGAGAGAGGAGAGAGAGAGAGCGAGAGAGAGAGAGAGAGAGAGAGAGAGAGATGGAGAGGGGGGGCTGGAGAGAGAGAAAGAGAGAGAGAGAGAGGGGGGGCTGGAGAGAGAGAAAGAGAGAGAGATGGAGAGGGGGGGCTGGAGAGAGAGAAAGAGAGAGATAGAGAGGGGGGGGGGGGGGGCGGGAGAGAGCGTTTGAGCCTCACCTCAAATAAAACCCACTTGCTTCCAGTAATCTGGTTATGTTATGCTTGCTACAGTATTATTGGTCTGTGTTCAATCATTGAAATAATGAATTACTTTTGAGAATAACCTGGTTAACCAGCAACCTGCTGGGTCCGGGCAGGCTCTCATAACTTCCTGCATAACTGCAAACACTTCTGGCTGACTTTGAAAGGAATTTGCATACGTGTGTGTGTGTGTAAGTCTTTATACCAGCTACTCATTAACTTGATCAGGGGCTTGTGTGTTTTACTACACTGCATGATGATGGATAATTACGGCTGAAAAGTTCAAACTCATTTTGCAGGCTTGTTTACGGTCCATACAGTAGGTTAGACACAATATCAGCTAGGCTCCAAAACAAACCGTATGAACCCGAAACAAGGAGTAAGACCAAGTCGGATTTACTGTGGAGTAAGTACCTCGCACTGAGCTAATGAACGTGTAGAGCAGGGATGTGCAACTTTGATTGGGGTGGGGGGGCGCCACAAAAAAAACAAAAAACAGAACTCATCATTGAGGGGCTGCAGTGGCTCGTGGGTCTGCGACTGAAATATTATTTAGATTTGTTTGTCAAATAAATCCACCGCCAGTTAGGGAACCCTGATGCACAGTCAAGTTAGTTCAGACAGTACGACCCGGGGAGAGGTGGGTGAGGCCAAATGTAAGATCCATTATGATGGATGTGTGGCAGAAGAGGTGGTTGCTGAGAACGGCACTGTGTGCTGTGTCTCTTTGTTAACAATAGTCGTTGCGCAATTTCTAATATTAAGGATGTCTCGAGGTTCTGCTCGCCTGAGTTCGAATACCTCATGATAAGCTGTAGACCAGGGGTGTCAAACTCAAATCAGCGTAAGGGCCATATTGAAAAAAAAAACACAACGAATTAATGGGCCAGATATAGACTATTATGTTTGTTTGTATGTACATTTAAAATATGCTATTCTGTCGTCAATGGATTAATGGGCGATAGAAAGCAGATATAAACTGATAATGGTGCACGTGACTTCAGTTACATTTTGGTTAGCCGCTGATGTCGAAACCAAGTACTTGCTCAATGGCATTCCATATCTTTTGGTTAGGGCAGATGTCGAAACCAAGTACTTGCTCAATGGCATTGCATATCTTTTGGTTAGGGCAGATGTCGAAACCAAGTACTTGCTCAATGGCATTGCATATCTTTTGGTTAGGGCAGATGTCGAAACCAAGTACTTGCTCAATGGCATTGCATTTCTTTTGGTTAGGGCAGATGTCGAAACCAAGTACTTGCTCAATGGCTTTCCATATATTTTGGTTAGGGCCGACGTCGAAACCAAGTACTTGCTCAATGGCGTTCCATATCTTTTGGTTAGGGCCGACGTCGAAACCAAGTACTTGCTCAATGGCGTTCCATATCTTTTGGTTAGGGCCGACGTCGAAACCAAGTACTTGCTCAATGGCGTTCCATATCTTTTGGTTAGGGCCGACGTCGAAACCAAGTACTTGCTCAATGGCGTTCCATATCTTTTGGTTAGGGCCGACGTCGAAACCAAGTACTTGCTCAATGGCATTCCATATCTTTTGGTTAGGGCCGACGTCGAAACCAAGTACTTGCTCAATGGCTTTCCATATCTGCAGGTGAGCGACTGTCTGAGACTGTGGTTTTGAGACTCGTGGAGCCTTATGTGGGCAAAGGCATGGACAACTTCTTCACATCAATTTCCCTAAACAGACAAGTTGATTGCAAAGAAGACTAGCCTGCTAGGAACAGTGAACAAACAAAGGCAGCCCCCCCCCCCCCCCCCCCCCCCCCCGTCCTCTGTGCAAAACAGCATACCAGTGGAGCTTTACTCCACATCAGTGATGGAGAGTGGTAAAGCAACACTCACGGTGTACAGATGTAAAGGAAATAGGAGTGTTTGGATGTGGCATGTGAGCTTCGTGAGAACCACATGAACGCCAAGAAATAAGCTACAGCTGCCAAGCATGCTCTCCCTCTTCCCCAAGCACCACAGCTCCTCCTCTGGAAAAAATAAGACACAATGTCAAGTCGGCAGGTGCACTTCGAAACAAGGCCCATGAAGACTGTGTTCAGTGCAACCGATTTGTTTGTGGGGCTTGCTCACACAAAGCCCCGAAGCTGTGTGCTGACTGTGGACCCGAAGCGTAAAGAGAAGCCGCGATTCATGTGTAAAGGCATGTGTACAGTGAGGGGAAAAAAAGTTTTTGATCCCCTGCTGATTTTGTACGTTTGCCCACTGACAAAGAAATTATCCGTCTATAATTTTAATGGTAGGTTTATTTGAACAGTGAGAGACAGAATAACAACAAAGAAATCCGGAAAAACGCATGTCAAAAATTTTATTAATTGATTTGCATTTCCAACCCTTGTTGGCAATCACAGAGGTCAGACTGTTCATTGAAAGGAAAAACTAAAAAAGCGGCAGACACCAGGGGTCAGGGGTCAGACACCAGGGGTCAGGGGTCAGACACCAGGGGTCAGGGGTCAGACACCAGGGGTCAGGTTTCTTCAACAGCTACACAACCAGTCAGAAGTTTGGACACACGTACTGATTCCAAGGTTTTTCTTTATTTTTACTATTTTCTACATTGTAAAATAATAGTGAAGACATCAAGTAGTAACCCCCAAAAAATGAAAATATATTTTCGATTTTTCAAAGTAGCCAACCATTGCCTTGATGACAGCTTTGCACACTCTTGGCATTCTCTCAACCAGCTTCATGAGGAATGCTTTTCCAACAGTCTTGAAGGAGTTCCCACATATGCTGAGCACTTGTTGGCTGCTTTTCCTTCACTCTGCGGTCCAACTCATCCCAAACCATCTCAATGGGGTTGAGGTCGGGTGATTGTGGAGGCCAGGTCATCTGATGCTGCACTCCATCACTCTCCTTCTTGGTCAAATAGCCTTTACACAGCCTGGAGGTGTGTTTTGGGTCATTGTCCTGTTGAAAAACAAATGATAGTCCCACTAAGCGCAAACCATATGGGATGGCGTATCACTGCAGAATGCTGTGGTAGCCAAGCTGGTTAAGTGTGCCTTGAATTCTAAATAAATCACTGACAGTGTCACCAGCAAAGCACCCCCACACCATCACACCTCCTCCTCCATGCTTCATGGTGGGAACCACACATGCGGAGATCATCCATTCACCTACTCTGCGTCTCACAAAGACACGGCGGTTGGAACCAAAAATCTCCAATTTGGACTCATCAGACCAAAGGACAGATTTCCACCGGTCTAATGTCCATTGCTCGTGTTTCTTGGCCCAAGCAAGTCTCTTCTTCTTGAAGGCCTGATTCACGCAGTCTCCTCTGAACAGTTGATGTTGAGATGTGTCTGTTACTTGAATTCTGTGAAGCATTTATTTGGGCTGCAATCTGAGGTGCATTTAACTCTAATTAACTTATCCTCTGCAGCAGAGGTAACTCTGGGTCTTCCTTTCCAGTGGCGGTCCTCATGAGAGCCAGTTTCATCATAGCGCTTGATGGTTTTTGCGAGTGCACTTGAAGAAACTTTCAAAGTTCTTGAAATTTTTCCGGATTGAATGACCTTCATGTCTTAAAGTAATGATGGACTGTTGTTTCTCTTTGCTTATTTGAGCTGTTCTTACCATAATATGGACTTGGTCTTTTACCAAATAGGGCTATCTTCTGTATACCACCCGTACCTTGTCACAACACAACTGATTGGCTCAAACGCATTAAGAAGGAAAGAAACCCCACAAATTAACTTTTAACAAGGCACATCTGTTAATTGAAATGCATTCCAGGTGTCTACCTCATGAAGCTGGTTGAGAGAATGCCAAAGCTGTCATCAAGGCAAAGGGTGGCAACTTTGAAGAATCTCAAATATATTTTGATTTGTTGAACACTTTTTGGGTGTTATTTCATAGTTTTGATGTCTTCACTATTATTCTACAATGTAGAAAATAGTTTTAAAAAATAAAGAAAAACCCTTGAATGAGTAGGCGTGTCCAAACCTTTGACTGGTAGTGTAGATCGCGAGCAGTTTACACTACATTACACTCTAATGCACTTTATGTATGATAATGCAGAAGTGAAGAACAAAGACAGACTAACAGAAGTGAAGAACAAAGACAGACTAACAGAAGTGAAGGACAAAGAGACTAACAGAAGTGAAGAACAAAGACAGACTAACAGAAGTGAAAGACAAAGACAGACTAACAGAAGTGAAGGACAAAGACAGACTAACAGAAGTGAAGGACAAAGAGACTAACAGAAGTGAAGGACAAAGAAAGACTAACAGAAGTTAATCACAAAGAAAGACTAACAGACATGAAGGACAAAGACAGACTAACAGAAGTGAAGGACAAAGACAGATTAACAGAAGTGAAGGACAAAGACAGATTAACAGAAGTGAAGGACAAAGACAGACTAACAGAAGTGAAGGGCAAAGACAGACTATCAGAAGTGAAGGACAAAGACAGACTAACAGACATGAAGGACAAAGACAGACTAACAGAAGTGAAGGACAATGACAGACTAACAGACGTGAAGAACAAAGAGACTAACATAAGTCAATACACAAAGACAGACTAACAGAAGTGAAGGACAATGACAGACTAACAGACGTGAAGAACAAAGACATACT